TGGGCACCTGCAGTGAAAAGGAACAGAAATGACTACATCACGCCCACCCGTCCCACCCTTGGATATCGCGGGAATATCAAATTGCTAGACATTTCTAAACGCTCGCCCTCAGTCTCGGCACCTATTTGCTGCAGGCTGGTGGTGGACCATTTGCAAGTTTTAAAGCCCACATTGGGACAGAAAACAGAGCCTAGGCCATCTGAGGCTGGGAATCAGAAGGGAGAACAGACCAATCCAGGGCGCGCAGAGTCTACCCCAAGTGAAAAGGGGAACTCAGAAACGCCTGTCGACCAGCACAGAGGGGCGTGGGAACTTGCCCTTTCTGCTGTGGGCACTGGCTACAGGGAAACGAAATGTCTCCCCTGAGAACTTATACCAGGAAGCTCCCCTCATGCCGAGCTGGGGTTCACAGTCACTCATTCTGAGTAATTTCTCCACCAGGAGAAATTAGCGTGAAAAGTGCTCCGAGACTGGTAGTCATCCCAGGAGACCTGGCAAGAGCAAATGCAAAAGCCTCTGGAGAGATCTGCCTTCGACCCAGGCCGCACGAAGTCCCACAGATAAGGTCTACCGGAGAGGACTGCGCATGCCCGGAAGCAAACGGCCCACTACAGTGACAGGCAGCAGGCCTAACACCCAGCAGTGTGAGGCCCCCAAGACTTCAGATCATGGAACTACCAGACCATAATTAAAGATGTCAGGTCTCGTCATGTTTGTTTACAGATTAAAACAAGTTCCAGTTTCAATCAAGCTACTCATGCTAAGACACCAATGCAATCGTTCACTTCTATATTAATCAGTTAATTTCTATGCTCTTTATATACTAATTTGCACACGCTGGTCAGGAACAGGTGTCTGTATCCATCCTGTCGACAGCTCAGAGGGGATTGCCAATTTATGGCCCCAGATTTTGCTGAGGAAGAGGAAAAAAAGAGTGTGAACGGGAAAAGTTCTGCAAATGTAATTACTTAATTGTTTACATAACTGTTTAAAATCTAGATTCCCTACTAGAACGTAAACTCTGTGAAAGCAGGACTGTATCTAACGTTCACTGAATATATCCCTTGGGCTTGGCTCATATTAGGCACCAAATCACCCAAGGGAAAAATGGATGTATGGGAAGAAAAGAGGGAAAAAATGTATAATTTCCTCATGAAAGGATGCCTGGAAGTTATCAGAGAATCAGGGACAGTGCCGGAAGAAAAGAAAGGGGTGAAGTGTTCTCAAATTCTAGTCTGTGAACCACATATACAAAGACTCTCACACAGCTATTAACTATGCAGAGAACGCCACATTTTGAAGATATGGGGCCCTTTCGAAAATAATTAAATGATTAAATCAGTGCTGGCGATGGAGGCAGAAGAGGGTCAGCGACACTGCTGGAATTCTGACGTGAACTCCTATACCAAAAACCGCACATATTCAAAAGTGTCCTTGAAAATCCCTTTAAAAACACACCGGACACAGACATGCTCTTTCTCAGGGTCCAAATGGCCAGTTTTTCTCCCAGCTTTGGAACAGACTGTCTTCTTCTGGTAGGTGACAACAGAGGGTGGCTGGCACGAGGGGCCATGAGACATGAAAAGCACAAGTCTACAAGCGCCAGCACCATGTGCAGTGAGACCAGACGTGGGCAGACCCATCTTCCCCTCGCTGAAGGCACAGCAGCAGCAAAGCCCTCACTATTCAAACTGGCAGTCTGCGCTCCGTTGTCTTTGAGACGCCACATATGCCATAGGTGAATTCGGGAGTGTTATAAATGCGCATGATGTGACTGGCAACTACAAAAGCAGAGAGGAAGAGGCTGGGCAAAGCGACAGCCTGAAAAAAACAATCTAGAGTTCCTCATTCTTAGTTGGGTGGCAGGTTTGTACGGTTACCCTCACTGTCTAAATGTTTACTGAAGAACCCGGACAGCTCTCCGCAGAGGTCAGTCCTAGGACCAAGCCCCTTTTATCGTTCCCATTCTGAGCATCTCAGTTCAGCCGCTCACTCACCTGGATTCTGTGCCGCAACTGTTGAAATTTCTCTTTCACTTGAGTATTCAGTTCAGTGAGTGCACTTAATGGTCCTGAACAATCTCGAATATCCTAGGAGACATTGAAGAGATGAGGGGACCTTTCTCAAGGCAATGAAATGACACCATCTGTACAGCTGAGTCGGCTTAGACCACAACTAAGGTTGGCCTACTGGTTGTAACTTAGCCTCATCTTTGCTGTTTACCTCTGCAACATAAGCAAAAACATCATCATTGACATTTCTCTCCTCCCTCTTTAAATGAACTCTGAGTAGGTAACATAAAAGCATTGAAAGGCACACAACTGTCTTGACTTACTAGTTCCTGAAGTCTAACAAAACTCTTAAAGCAGCTTATATGTTGAATTAAAATGCACATCCCAAAGTGATACTCTAACTTTAGATCTTTCCAACTTAAAAGTCAGGGTGCTAAATCAAATGACAAGATTAACTTCAATATTTACAAATCACATTACCTATTATAAATCACAGTGTTTACAGACAGATTCAAGGGCAGATTTAGAATTTGTTTCTGGACATTCAGAATTATTGGAGCCGGCATTTAGAGCAGGCCCGACTATGTGGAGTCAGATACTGGCTGTGGCAATTTATTAGCTGTGTAACCTTGAAAAAGCCACTTGAGTTCTCTGTGCCTCAGTTTCCTCATCACATCACGACCTACCTCGCAGATCATGTATGTACATAAAGCACTTGGCAGAGGAGCTGGAACACAGTAAGAGTGGAATAAATCTAGCTATCATCGATGTTTCTCATTAGATTCTAGAACTGACCCGATGATGTTTCGTAGTAGATACATGGAACAAGGGAAGTTCAAGAAGTTTAAATATTTGTATCAAGTTTCCTCACTTGTTCTCATGCTTACTCATTAAATCAAACTTCCTGGCACCATATGATAAACCACTAATTTGGCTTATTTTGCATCTGGTTTCTGTGGGGAGCTCTACTTTCCTTCGCTTTTTGCCCCAACTCTGAGTCTGCATCTAATGTTTAGTGACATTTGTTGGAAATGGAAACGATTTGCTTAAAATCAAGGTTTAAAACTCTTGCTTTTTGCTAAATTCAAGGAACCATTTCTACATTCCCAACTCCCGCCTATGCCAATTGGTTGATTGCACTACTGACTTCTACCCTTAAATGGCTTAAGGCAAAGCACCTGAATTACCTCAACTATTAAACGGCGAAGTAGAGCCTCTCAGTCCCTTCTCTAGGCTGGCTTTCCCCGTCCAGATCCCAGTTTTGCCACGATCTGCCTTCGGATTCAAGCCCTGGCGCTTTACTCGATTTCCTCATTTGCAAAATCACAACTACAGCCCAGGTTACGGTCCCGTCACCCAGTGCCTCCCGTGCCAGGTGGTCTGGGGTGGCCACGGGGCACCGGACCCAGCGGAGGTGGCCAGGAGGGGGCGGGGCTAATGCCTCCGGGACGCTATCAAATGGTGGGGAGGGCAGTTTCAGAAAACCCGGCTAAGCTGGGTGACAGGTATGTTGTGAGTAATCAAATGGTGGGGAGGGCAGTTTCAGAAAACCCGGTGACAGGTATGTTGTGAGTTGGTCCGGGACCAGGCGACAGCCAGGGGTGCGTAAAGGAGGGACCGAGCGGGGCCACAAAGGAGAAGCCTGGTCAGGAACGGGGACATAGGGCTGTCCCGGAGGAGGCGAGCCAACGGCACCCGGACGGAGGCTCAAGGCCAACGGCCAAAGGGAAGGGACCGAAGGGGTACAGAGGAGACGTAAGCCGGCCATAGGGCAGGGCCAGCGACCTGGGAGACCTGACCAAGTGGGGAAAGCTCGGCAGTGAGACGGCAGAGGCCACAGGAGGCCAGCGGAGCTCGGGGTTAGGACGGCTGGGGCCTAGAGTCCCGGGAATTAGTACCTGAATAAGCGCCTTCACCTCCAGGTCGAACTTGACAATCTCTTGGTTACAGATCCGGACGTGGACATCTTGGGCAGCCGCCATGTTGGAGACGCCGGCTACGGGCCGCGGCGGTGGCCAAGTTCAAACGCGTTTTCGCGCCGCCGGGTCTTGCGGCAGCGCCCCCTAGAGACAAGCCCGAGGCGAGTGAGGGTGGCGCGCAATGTCTTGGGGACTTTCCCTGACACGTGGGAGAAATCGGCCTTGCCTCTAGGTCCTAATAAAATGGAGAGGAAGGGAAGAGGGCATCTCAAGAACGCTTTCACGGTGGCCTCTCCCCATCTTCCTCCAATCTGCCATTCTAATGATGACATATTTTTTGCATAGACAGAAAAAAAAAAGACTGGAAGGAAAGTATCAATTGGGATGTCTCTGGAAAGTGGCATTAACAGGTTTTTATCTTTCTTGGAGCTTTCTTGTATTTTCGTATTTTATGGTGACCCCACATCACGTCCCTGGGCCTCAGCTCCTCAGAGGCCGCTGATGGTCACCACAGCGTCGGATGGGGGATTAATAGGGGAAGAGAAAAGCAGCGAGCACAGTGTGGTCGTGCGGCCTGCGCCGACAACGCGATGCGCCTTGGCTGCTGTTATTATATTATTGACATTCTTGGAGCATTTCCTCTGCGCCAAGCCCTTTGTACTAAGCGCTTTATGTGTATCATCTAACTTAACTTTCACGATAACCCCTGGAGGTAGAATTATCTCTATTTTACATGTGAGAAAATAGGCACAGAGAATAATGACTTGCCCAGTTCAAGTGGGATTGCCAGGTCCAAGGAGATACGCATTTATTTTTATTTGATCGATTGAGAATTTTTGTAAGAGTTTGAGTCAAACTGACGACGTAAGCCAGGGAGCAGGAACTCAAATGCTCCCACATATAGGTGTAGTTAATTTCGGATGCA